GCTGATAGCTCAGCAGCCATACGCGTTGCGCGTCGGCGGCGCGTAGCAATCAGTGCTGACCATCGCTCGCGCGCCTTTGCTTTCATTGAGCGTTCTAGTGTCGAACGGAGTGGATGTTGTCAGCGTGTACAGGTACAGTCACGATGTCCACACAAGTCGAGTCATCCAATACAAAGCAGCAATGACTATTGCACTCCGCATTTTGCGTTTGCGACTGTATTCCGTGGCAATCAGCACGATACTAAAATGTTTCGCGCTGACAAAACACGCGCTGAGCTGTCAGCACTGTCGTCAGCTTGACACTAAAACCATCCTTAACTCCACCGCCATCTGCCGTATGACGTTGACGTCTGTGCATATGTCATAGTATATGAGAGGCGCTTGCCTGCACTGTTGCCAGATTGGGCTCCGGATTTAGGGGAAAATATGAAAAGTGGAAAATTTATATACGTATAATATACAGCGTGTCCGCAAAGTTGGGGTTTTCCTTAAACGACGTGTAGATCTTGAAAACATAAGCTATTTTTCTTAGCACCATATACACCAATGTCTTAAGGGAACCGAGATAAAGGGCTCTGCAACATCAAAAATATCTGAATACCGTCCTGTAGCCGCGACATCCCCGAGTGGTACTAGGACACTAGCTCAACCCGACGACAGAACTGGCTCGGGGTCAGTGTGTCAGGTCAGTATGCAACCTTCAACCGACGGTTACGGTCACGCGTGTATAGAGACGTGACTAGAGAAGTGCAAGTATCAAAAACTAAAGTGTGGCAAACGCCGCGTGAAGAGGGGCTGTATCCGTTTCACGTCCAACGTGTACAAGCCCCTCATCCTGACGATTTTCCAGCAAGAGTGCGGTTTTGTGAGTGGTTGTTGCATCAACATGACAATAATCTGGACTTTTAGAAGTGCATATTGGTGACAGACGAATCTACGTTCACGCGTAATGGGGTGAATAACTTTCGCAACACTCATGTTTGGTCATTTTCAACAAACATTTTCGGTGAATGTTTGGGCTGGCATGGTGAACGGTATGCTCATTGGACCATTTATTCTCCCAAATCGATTGGACGGGATGCAATACCTAGACTTTTTACTCAACATTTTGCCTTCCTTGCTTGCCTGCGTCTGCTCGGTAGCGCATCAGCTGATTTCGTTTTCTGTTGGAGCGGTATGATTTCGGGCAGAGACGTACTTAGCCCTTCTCGTCAACTGGAGAGTGAGTACTTTTTCCTTTATTTTTTTTTTACTTGGTCGCACTCGTTTCACTACACATTACCTTTGTTATTTCAAGGGTAGTTGTTTCTGAAAAGGAAAACCCCAACTTTGCGGACACCCTGTATATAATATACGAAAAACTGAGGAGAATTACGGGAAATCATCGCAGCGGCCGCGTTGTGTGTAATTACTGCTAGCATGTATATGGCTTGTAATTCGACAGTGTACAGTGAATATAATTATTTCTTATGGTTATGAAAAAATTGTCGGCCCGATGGGTGTCGCGATTGCTCACGGTGGACAACAAGCGGATACGGCTGTTAACTTCGAAGCAGTGTTGGGAGCATTTTAAGCGAAATCTGAAGGAGTTTTTGCGCCGAGTTGTTACCCTCGTTGAAACTTGGATTCATCACTACACACCAGAAACTAAGCAACGACCAAAACAATGGATTTCTCCCTGTGAATTTGCTCCAAAGAAGGCGAAGACGGTTCCATAGCCCGGTGAGGTCATGACGACGATTTTTTTGGATTCGAACGGCGTCATCCTCGTGGATTTTTTAGAAAAAGGAAGACCGATCACTGGACAATACTATAGTGAGGTATTGGACCGCTTCGACAAGAAATTGAAGGGTACACGGCCACATTTGACGAAAAAGAATGTGCCGTCTCACCACGATAACGCCCCAGCACATCATCCGGAGTTGACTTGTTCCCTGACATGATGGCTCGCGGGGAAAAAGTTTAGCTCAAACGAGGAAGTCATCGCCGAGACAGAGGCGTATTTTGGAGTGTTCGACAAATCTTATTTTTTGGGGGGTTAAAAAAATGGCAGGAACGGTGGGAAAAGTGTATCTTTCTAAAAGGGGATTATGTTGAAAAATAAAAAGAAATTTTTTGGAAAAATTGGTGTCTTCATCTCTAACACGGTTGAACAGCCCTCGTACAAGGCCCGATACATTGTTGTAGACTAGTAGTGCTTGGAACTTGTTTCGTTGAGAGTCTAGTTGCCCCGTGATATTGTTTGTTGTTAGAATAATTGTTATTTGGTTATTCCTGTTGTTATTGTTCGGGTTATACTTATATTTCCTAGCTCATGGATAATCAGAGAAAAAACGGACAAAGATATTCTCCAAATTTCTGATCTATAACGTCTTTCAAACTATTTTCTGTTTTTTTTAAACATATAAAAGAAATCAAGTTCACATTAGAAATTCATATCCCGGCACTGACAATCCGACTACAAGTGGTTGAGTGATGTTCACGTGAACATTGATGAGTCGTTACAGTTTTAGATAGCTATGGTATAGTTGCGGCTGAAGTTCCGATCGATCACGCTCTGATCGAAACGGTAAAAAGGCAGCAGTGACGAAAATTTGCCATTACCACTTCTACTGACGTAATTTGGGTCCAAATAAACATAAATCGATGCGGTTTTCACGTAGTTCGATTGTATTACGGGCTTTCTATGTACTGTAAGAGTTTTATCTCCCTCCTCCAAAATCTTCCTCAAAGTGAGGAGAAACGCGAAAAAATTGATATTACATTAAAATAAACCTGGAGAAATGCGGTTTTCACGTCAATTGATTAGAAAAAGCATATTTTACTTATGCTAAGTTCAAATTCGTGCTATCTCGTTCACAGATACCGCAAATTGACCCCCCTTTAAAACCTAATATTTTCGAAGCTATATAATCATCTATAGCTTTTCAAAACCGCCCAAGACCAAAATGTTTTGGACACTTCTCGCATGAATATGATCTAGTCAATCACACCATATCAGCCGTTTCCCCAAACCAAGTCCGGAACCCTCCGTTTTTGACCCCTCTTTATTTATACATGACAAATTTGAAAAATCTATTATTCGTCACAACAGCCGAAGACGCAAAATTTTTTTACATTTCTGGCATCAATATAATCCACTTTATCACTTCCTACCAGCCGTTTTCCGAAAGCACGTCCGGAACCCTCCGTTTTTGACCCTTCTTTATTTATACATGACAAATTTGAAAAAATCTATTATTCGTCAAAACAGCCGAAGACCCAATTTTTTTTTTACATTTCTGGCATCAATATAATCCACTTTATCACTCCCTACCAGCCGTTTTCCGAAAGCACGTCCGGAACCCTCCGTTTTTGGCCCCTCTTTATTTATACATGACAAATTTGAAAAAATCTATTATTCGTCAAAACAGCCGAAGACCCAATTTTTTTTACATTTCTGGCATCAATATAATCCACTTTATCACTCCCTACCAGCCGTTTTCCGAAAGCACGTCCGGAACCCTCCGTTTTTGACCCCTCTTTATTTATACATGACAAATTTGAAAAAATCTATTATTCGTCAAAACAGCCGAAGACCCAAAATTTTTTTACATTTCTGGCATCAATATAACCTACTCTCTCACATCATACCATCTGTTTTTCCAAAGCAAGTACTTCATTTTTCACAACCCTCGTTTATATTACATGGAATTTCAAACATAATCATAACTCGTAAGTATAGCTGTGATTTTAGAATATTGTCAGATGTTAATGTTAGATGATTAGATGTTAAAATCTAGCTAAAGTAATCTGTACTTGAGTAAAACAAAACGGGTGAGATCAAATTCAACAATACAGAGGTATGCTGTTCATAAAACGTTATTAAATCCTGAAATATGGAAGTGTGGTGCCGACAAATGCAGTAAATAGGTCGTTTTTACCTGTTACTCTATCGTAAAGGTTGAGGGTGTTTCCTGTCGGGAGTAACAATAATCCTAATAAAAATAATATCCAATTGACAAAGGTATGCGGTACACAAACATATAAATACAAATATAAAAACTAACAACATAAATGACACACAAAAATATTAATTATATATATATATATATATATATATATATATATAATTAGATATTGAAACATGTTGTGGAAGAAGTGCAGGCACCCCCAAAAGTAGTAATTTTATTATTGTGACAAAGTTTATCAAAATCGGTTCCATTGTGCCTTTCCATTTTACAGAGCATATAATTTTCTAATTATTAAGCAATATCTCCCGTACCTTGTTACATAGCGATGCTGGACCTCTCGCCTCGAACTCCACCTCATTCACAGTTTGCACTATAGAACATATCGCGTGCGCAACACTCAACTTTTCGAGATACGACTTGGAATACATTTTGATATATCACAAAGGTCATCAACTAGTTTCGCCGGAAGTTCAACAAAAACTAAATTTGGATCCGTTCTTTGTAAAAGCAGCCCTTTTCGGGAAATCCCAAGGGTTGGTATGTTTACTAGAGTACCCACCCATTTTGCGTATTGTTTTGCCACGGGCAGGTAAGTAATCCCCTCCAATGCAATTCAACCTATCACTTACATGATTTATTGAGCCTGATAGTGGATTTCAAAAATACCAACGACCATGCGAAATTGAGATATTTCTCAGTTGGTGATGATTTCCAAGTTTCCTGGTTTTCAAATTCCGAAAATTAAAAAGTATATATAACACAATAGACAGATAGATAACTAATTATACATATTCACTAGATCATCTCATCGATATACTGCACGTCATTATCGCACATAAAGAATAATAGTAATATACATAGATACATAATAAGTATAGATATATTCAAAAACAAAGATATTCGTTAAGATTAAACTGACATTGGCAAGAGAAAAACATGTATGTGAAATGTATTACTAAACTATAGCTAAAATTGCACATATGAATTTCCATGTCAATTGAATGGTCGTCGCGTAGTACGGTACCCACCCCAATAGGCTATTTGACTAATTTTGCAAAATCATTTTAAATTATTCTTTTATATATAATGAGCACACTACATGAATATTTCCTGAAAATCTATACTATTTTTAATAGAAATCAAATTTAAAGTTTGAATTTTTAGAACCGCGCCAAAAACGCTATTCCTGTGATGGCGCCGGCAGATGACGTCTGTGACGTCACACGCCATTAAACACGATCACGAGCTGTCAGCCGAAGTTAATTTCATTATTGTGCTTGATTTTGCTATAAAATCATAGATAAAATGGTCTATAAATGGTGTGTAGTGCCAAAATGTACGAATACGTCTATAAATAGTCCACAAACATTGTTTGTTTCTGTTCCAACCGATTGTAAAAGACGAAAAAGGTGGTTACTATTAGCTCGGACAGACCCAAAGGGCATTTCATCGACTTCAAATGTATTTATGTGTGAAGATCACTTCGATGTAAGTATAAATTGAATATGTTATCTACTAGGTAGCTTAAATTACCGCTTTTTTTAAGATTGAAATAATATATAACTATCTATAACCTCAAATGTATGTTGAGGATAAGTCAGTGTTGAGGATCAAAGATCCTGTTTATTAACCCTAAACTTATTACTCTGTAGGGTTTCAAAATGTTTTCTGTTGTTTTGATTATATTAGCTACCTACATATCTCAATAATTTTCTATGCTGTGTCATTTTACCTACTTTGCTTATTAGATAGTGATAGTTATGTTGAATTGCAGATGGAAAAAGACACCATTAACTACATGCAGTACAAAATGGGTTTCAGCAAGAAGATACTTTTGACAGAAGATGCTGTGCCAACAAAATTTCATTGTCAAGAAGATCGTAAAAGACCACTGTCTGATGCTGGACTTTCTCGAGGAGCATATGTCAAGAGGAAAAGAATGGATTTGGTCAACACATGTTTGCAAAGTCAAAATGCTACTGAAGCCCAAGCTGAAAGCTTACAAAAAGATGAGAGTTTGATACCATACATTATTGAACCTCAAGGTATGTAATCTATTACATGTGTCCTATCATAAATTATAGTCTAAGAGCTGATAGACATTTTTGTAACCTATTTGAGGCCTTATAAAAACTTGTCTACTACTTCTTCCATTATTTCTGAATAAAAAGGGCAGAACTGAATCACATATTTGTAGCACATTGAGATTTTCACAGAATAATATTTATGGTTTAAAATTGATATATTCAAAGTGATAGGTCATTTTAGTGGGACATTTTACTTGCTAGGTGATCAAGAATGCTCAACTTGTACTTCAGGTAATGGGTAATTTTCTCTCAAGCTGTTAATGTTGTGATTCACTACCCCTTATCCAGCACTGCACTTTTTCTTCAGTGATAATGGTAGTAGGAAGTAGTAGACAACTTTTCATAGTGCCTTAACATAATCATTTACATTGAAATTAAGACATTAATTTTGAGTCTTTTTTCTTTCAGGTTTATCAAGAACTCAAGACAGAGAAACTATTACCAACTCTATCATAACTGCAGAAAAATCTGTGCAAGTAACAATAAAAGAGAATGTGCATCATAGGAGCAAATCTGTGCAAACAAGATGCCAGACTACAAGTATTTCTACCTCACCAATGAAAGTTTCTACAACATCTCGTTCCACTTCGCCCTTTAAGATTAAACCATGCAGTCTTCGACCATCACAGTCTGAAATTGTCAAAGCAGTCAAGAGAAATGTTTTTCTTGAAGATGAAAAGTCAGATAGTGATATTTCCTGTATTGAAAGTGGTCGTCATTTATCACCTTTTGTAACTAAATCAGCATCATCATCATCAGGGCTTACCGACTCTGATAGTAATGTTACAGATGCCAATGAGAATATTGAAAAATTAGAGTGCCTCAAAATTACTATGCGTTCAATCTCTAAAAAACCAATGATGTATGTTGGTATTCCAAAAGAATGTTATTTCTTAATCAAATTGTTACATAAACACACAAGCATAAAAGTAGAACACATTTTGCTATGCTTGAAAAAGATTAGAATGAACAGTACATTTTCTGAACTGGAGGATAATTTTGGAATATCATTATCTTATGCTAGTAAATTGTTTCTACAAAATATACCAATAATAGCTAGTGTTTTAAGACCATTCATTGTAAATATAGATAAAAAATTGGTAAAAAAAAATCTTCCTATCTCATTTAGACATAACTATCATAATGTCAGTTGCATCATAGATTGTTTAGAGATTTGATATACAAAAACCATCAAAGGCTCTTCATCAGTCATTGACGTGGTCAGAGTACAAAAAGGGGAATACTGTGAAGTATTTAGTATCCTGCACACCTAATGGTTTAGTTAATTATGTTTCGCATGGGTTTGGGGGCAGAACCAGCGATGCCACAATAGTAGAAAATTGTAACTTTCTAGATGGATTACCCCAAGGATCCTGTTGCTTAGCTGACAGAGGCTTCAAACACCTTGAACAAATACTTCATGAAAAGGGACTAAAACTATTAAGGCCACCCAGTGTAAATGCTGGTGCCAAGTTGTCAAAAACTGAAGTTCGACAAACTAAAATAATAGCTAGTTTGCGGATTCATATTGAAAGGGTAATAAGGCGTTTGAGAGAATTTCATATTTTAAAGCAACATTCAGTGATAAATACTAACATATGTCGTGTACTTGATCATGTCATTATAATTGCATGTGCTCTAATAAATTTGCAAGATTCTCTTATTAAATAATGGGTTTTTGCCTGTTATGATACTTTATACTTAATTATTATCATGTAATCTCCTCTTTTGTGACATACCATTTGAACTTTGTGTTTTGTACTTGGCTGAATAAATACTTCTACTACTACTACTATAAATAAAGAAATAAATGATGTAAAACCATGAATAAAATGAAAATAAAACAAGAAATATGCACTGCATAGTTTTTTATTTGATAATCACAGACTAGTGCTACGATACAAAATAGGATATATATTTTTTTTCCAAAAAATATACAAGTTTTTTATTAAGTTGTTGACATAATCATCTTCGTACTTCACTAGAATAATATCTACATTTTTTGTTTCTTCAAAGTTGCTATCAGCAACACAAAAATAACATTTTTTCATACCAGTTGCATGCATCTGTAATTGAACCTGTGCCTTACATTTCTCAGAAATAATTCCATTTTTTAAATAATTGTTCTTAGCTTTTGCTTTGGTAGGGCATTTTATTTCAACAATGGCATCTTTCAATAAACCATCAGGAGATGCTGCAAGCATGGGATTGTCTTGGCATACATAAAGTCCTCATGTTCTGATTTTTTTGTTCAATGTTGTACTAACTGTCTTCCGGACAGATAGCTCCAAACTTCTACCTCTTTTCATTGCAATAGTATCTGGTATTTTTGCGCCCATTATAGTAGCAACCAATGAACCATCAGGTGTATGACATACGCTCACTTCATGTGCCTTTGAAGCTGTGATACGGCCATACCTCATCTCATACCACAAGCTGCTCTTGTACTGCATTCTTGTTGCTTCTTCAATTGCACTGATAGCAGCTCTGTTGAATGTTGTCTTCATTATGTCTACAAGATTGTCTACATCTGCTTGAATTTTTTTTGGTTGGTCCATTATGAAAACATTGCAGCGAATACCGCATAACATTTGAGTGTTTAAAATCGTCCTGATATTTTATCAATTCGCAGTGTTGAAGTTTTCTTTTTTTGGCTTCCAAAACAAAGTCTGTGTAAAGTGCTGATGTACTTGGTCTGTGTGGTACTTCCTTTTTCGGCATCTGCTGCACAGTGATGTACTTCAGAGTAGTACCTACTCTTGACAATGTTGGCTTTTTCCAATAACATTCCACCGAAGTAGATGGAGGTTCCTCACTGCGCCGATGTACCCACATCAAAAAAGCGACTGCATGCTTGCATCCTCCTGCTGAAGCAGCACAGTCATGGCACTGACAACTTATTATCTCGCTTTCATTTTCGTTGATAACCATTGTCACATTATAAGCTTTTGATCTCACTTTGTGCTCTGGGCACATTTTGCACTTAAGTGTGCAAAGTCCATGCTCCCGGTGCAGCTGCACATAGCCAATTGCATCGTCTCCGTAGGACTCCCTTCCAGACCTGTAAAACAAAAGCAAAACATGAAAGTATGTTTTATTCATGAAACCATATATGAACCATATTATCATATTGAACTGAAAGCTTTTTTCATTACATCAACATAACCTAAAATAAGATTGATTTTACAAATCTTTTAATGATCATACATAAAGGTTAGTAGGTATAAATAAATACTTTCTATTACTACTTACATTGTTGTTTTCACATGTTTGAGTTCCGCAGCATAGTAGTCCGCATTATTTTTGAAGAAAAATGCTACCATTAATGCGTCAACCTTAGGTAGATTGCTGTTATCAGCTTGCACAAAATTTAGGTCCATTTTGAAGTCCACAACGAATAATGATGTCAATAGTTGAAAGATTGATCAAGAAAGTAATAAAAATCTGTTTATGAAATAGAATTATGATAGAATATCTCACAGAAAGCCAGCAAAAACGTACAACGCGATGTTTGTTTACTTGCATGTGACGTCACCAGAGTCGCAGCCAATCGCAGGGCGTTTCTGTGACCCATCGAATTTTTAAAAATAGCTGATTTTTATTTGATTATTTCCCAAAAAATATACATATTTAGGTGTACATTAAAGTACTATGTGTTTTCTTATTCTACTATCTAATAGGATGACCACAATTCGCAACTTATTTTCAATACTGTCAAATAGCCTATTATATATAAGTTGTGGTTATATTGCTCTAGCTGTTACCCGCGAGTCCCTAAGCGTTAAATTTGTTACTAACCATATAACATTGGTTTTGAGTATTTCTATGACTGCATTGTACAGTAAATTAACAGTCAGCTTGCCTGCTTGGAAATCATGGTTATTTTATTGTGGAGACAGACTGCGGGGATAAAAACACGGTCCGGACGGCTAACGTATTGATATTAGCATTTTAAATTAAACTAAATTTTACATCGTAAAAGTTACCAAATTTAAAGTCTTCTGCTGAGAGACTCTCATCGTTGACAATATTTAGATATATGAAGATTCCAAGCAATCTGAAATAAACTTGAACGTGTCCTTTAATCCCTTATCTGGCCCTGCCACAAAATCCATTTACCTGTGATGTCCTGACTATAAACTACCTTCCTGACAGAACTCTTTTTTGTTTCCGACATTTCGTCATTAATGTGTGTCTTTACGCTTTTACATAAATATAATGCCGTCAGTACATGGAGTACAGGAAAAAGCTAATTTGAATAGCAAAAACATACGTGGCAACTGAAGATAGATCTGCTAAATACGATAGTTGGAACTTTGTACAGTGTAATTGATAATAGATCATTTTTAAGTTCCCTACATATACGAGTATAAACAAGGAAGAGGAGTAAATCCGCGTATTCTGGTTTTGGTTTAGCAACTTGGCAAGTAGGGTGTGATAGAGTAGGATCTATTAATACCAAAAGTGCAAAAAACTTTTTGGCTTTCAAACATTTTGACAAATATCTTTGTTCAAGTTTGCTATATACATAGGGGCCCACAATAGGCGGGTTCTGGACTTGCTTTCGGAAAACGGCTAGTAGGGAGTGATAAGGTAGATTATATTGATGCCAGAAATGTAAAAAAATTTTGAGTCTTCGGCTGTTTTGACGTATAATAGATTTTTTCAAATTTGTCATGTATAAATAAAGAGGGGTCAAAAACGGAGGGTTCCGGACGTGCTTTCGGTAAACGGCTGGTAGGGAGTGATAAAGTGGATTATATTGATCCCAGAAATGTAAAAAAATTTTGGGTCTTCGGCTGTTTTGACGAATAATAGATTTTTTCAAATTTGTCATGTATAAATAAAGAGGGGTCAAAATCGGAGGGTTCCGGACGCGCTTTCGGAAAACGGCTGGTAGGAAGTGATAAAGTAGATTATATTGATCCCAGAAATGTAAAAAAATGTTGGGTCTTCGGCTGTTTTGACGAATAATAGATTTTTTCAAATTTGTCATGTATAAATAAAGAGGGGTAAAAAACGGAGGGTTCCGGACGTGCTTTCGGAAAACGGCTGGTAGGGAGTGATAAAGTGGATTATATTGATGCGAGAAATGTAAAAAAAAATTGGGTCTTCGGCTGTTTTGACGAATAATAGATTTTTTCAAATTTGTCATGTATAAATAAAGAGGGGTCAAAAACGGAGGGTTCCGGACGTGCTTTCGGAAAACGGCTAGTAGGGAGTGATAAGGTAGATTATATTGATGCCAGAAATGTAAAAAACTTTTGGGTCTTCGGCTGTTTTGACGAATAATAGATTTTTTCAAATTTGTCATGTATAAATAAAGAGGGGTCAAAAACGGAGGGTTCCGGACGTGCTTTTGGAAAACGGTTAGTAGGGAGTGATAAGGTAGATTATATTGATGCCAGAAATGTAAAAAACTTTTGGGTCTTCGGCTGTTTTGACGAATAATAGATTTTTTCAAATTTGTCATGTATAAATAAAGAGGGGTCAAAAACGGAGGGTTCCGGACTTGGTTTGGGGAAACGGCTGATATGGTGTGATTGACTAGATCATATTCATGCGAGAAGTGTCCAAAATATTTTGGTCTTGGGCGGTTTTGAAAAGCTATAGATGATTATATAGCTTCTAAAATATTAGGTTTTAAATGGGGGTCAATTTGCGGTATCTGTGAACGAGATAGCACGGATTTGAACTTAGCGTAAGTAAAATATGCTTTTTCTAATCAATTGACCTGAAAACCGCATTTCTCCAGGTTTATTTTAATGTAATATCAATTTTTTCGCGTTTCTCCTCACTTTGAGGAAGATTTTGGAGGAGGGAGATAAAACTCTTAGGGGCTTCGTACACAAGGCTACGCAAGTCTCCGATACTTATGTTGTATATTACATTAGTATCCAGTCGCGAGTATCGAGTAGCGCACGGTCCGTACACACGACATTGAATCGCAAGACGCGAATTGCCTATTCAGCCACTATAGGCTAAACAGATCACACTTTTACGAAAATGTCTGAAACAAGTGATGATGAAACTATAATTTTGTACTATTTTTATCGGAAACAAAGAAATCGTCGTAACAGAAGATACTGGGTTCATCCGTATATAGAGAGAAACATAAAGTGCAGACTGTTTGTAGCTGCAAAAGAATTACAACAAACAGATGCGAAATTATTATCATTGTACAGGATGTCCAAAGAGAGTTATACACATTTAGTGGAGTTACTTGTTCCACATATACACCAGAGAGATACACACATGAGAGAGTGTGTGAGCGCAGAGGAAAGGATTCTAATAACAATCAGGTATGATTTCAATTTGTTTTATTAAATATTAACATTTCAGAGTAAGATTGAATTTTAATAATATATAACGGAACGGAACCCCTCAGAAGTCTGCACGAAATCTTAACTGCGTCATCAATTCTGAGTATAATTTACTTCACCTACAGTATTTTGGAGTAGTTGAATATATGTAGCTGCATTTACTCCATCGTCGGTTGTATATTCGATTATATCATTATTGGTTTCTATTGGTAATTCTATGTCAGTTGTTACCTGCGAGGACGATTTACTTGGGTGTTGTATTTCGGGTCCTATAAACGGAGATGTCTGCGAAGATAATATACTTGAAGTATTTGGTATATGAACTAATGCCGGCGCCGGCGTTTGCTTAGATGAAGTGGTAGGTACATTCAGTATGTTATCTATCACATCTATAACTTGACGTTTGAATGATCTTATTTGTGTGGATGTCATAGAATTTAAGTCTGGCAGCAAACTTAACAAAAACATCTTGTTGGCGTTATTCTTTGTCGACTCGTCATTGACATTTGGCTTGCTCATTTTCGTTTTCAAATATTCATTGAAGAGTTCATCATTCTCATTCGTTCTATTCTTATGACGCTGAGAGGAACTACGCCAAGTTGAGACAGATAACGGGGTTGGAGTACGTTCAGTTTGTTTTCTGGAGGATGCAGTAGGTGATGTCGGGGGCGGTGGTGAAGCCGAGGGCGATGGTGATACGGAGGGCGGTGGTGATGCCGAGGGCGGTGGTGATGCGGTCGGTGTAGATGCTTGTGATTCATTGTCTTGATTAATCGGATTAGGCAAACTGCCAGATGGAATTGCAGCAGATTTTATATAAGGAAGAGCAAACTGCATTGAATCTGTCAAATAGTATTTCTTTTTTGTTGATGATCCACTAGCAGCAGGTTTTAAGTTTCGTACGAATACAGAACGGAGGTTTTTCCATTTGTCTTTCGCTTGCAGTCCTGAAAGTAATAAAAATATGTCAAGCAACTGTTAACATTAAGTTCACCGTTGTAATACTATGTACAAGATGTTAAATAAATAAGTATTAATACAACTTTTTTAGGTATTTGGCAACTGGCGCAACATTCACATCGATTTCCTTATATTTTGCTCGAGGAGACTCTACAGTGTCAAGAATAATTGGAGAAATAACAGCAATTATATGGGATGCCTTGAAAGATATTTATATGCCAACACCGGATAAAAATCAATGGAAAATAATAGCACAACGTTTTCATTTACTATGGAATTTGCCTAATTGTTTGGGTGCTCTAGATGGAAAGCACATAAGAATAGAAAAGCTACCAAACTCAGGATCGCTTAACTTCAACTACAAGTCGTATCATTCAATTGTTCTCATGGCATGCAGTGACACTGATGGCCTCTTTACATACATCGAAACAGGATTTGCTGGCAGGAACAGTGATGGTGGTATATTTCGTGCTTCAGCAATCAAACATTTCATTGAAGGGGACAATCTTGATCTTCCTACTCCTTTACGATTACCCAATGATGACAACAACTACAAGTTTCCATTTTACTTTGTCGGAGATGAAGCGTTTCCGCTATTGCATTATTTGCTACGGCCATATCCACAAAGAGTACTTGATAATACGAAAAGAATATTTAACTATAGATTGAGTAGAGGAAGGAAGACTGTAGAATGCGCTTTTGGGATGATGACGGAAAAATTTCAGGTTCTAAGCACTGCGATAAGATGCCACGACAATATAAAGATTAATAATATTGTAAAATCAGTATGTATTTTACACAACTATGTTAGGAAAAGAGAAGGGCTTCCATATCGTGCGTATGAAGAAAATTCCAATAGTACACATGGTATAATACAACCTCAGCAAATTCAATTGAATGCGCAATCTTCTCCAAATACGTTAAGAAACTATTTAGCTAAGTACTTTCTTAAACCTCAGGTAGCACTCCCATGGCAATATAATTGTATTGTATAAATTTTGTTAGTCTGTTTAAATAACAAAATTCTGTAAATGCAAATAAATATTTTACTGGACCACACACCATTAAGTACTGTAGCAAGTTCTATTTTCTAATTTTAACTATTAATTTAACATCAGATATTCCCTGTGTTCTGTTTATGGATTAGTGGATACGGATATCTGGTACATTACTAGTTAGTAGCTAATCATGATCCTAGATCACAATAACATGGGTAATCCGGCGGGTTACAACATCGGCTATCATAATAAAATGTACACAAAATATCGTGTATATGCGTAAAAAAATCTTAATAAAAAACATACTGCCAAATGTGTTTTTTCTTTACTAAATTACTATGTTTAATACTATAAAAATCTACCAACCTGTTAAATTAACGGCCCTTCCTACTGATACCCACGCTTTTTCTGTAATATCCTTTCTAGAATATTCTTTTATTTTATAGTTGTATAAACAGGGATACTTCTCCACCTCCGAAAGAAATTTAATATTTAATAACTGCTCCGCCATCCTGGAAATCGCTGCGACTTATGTAGCGAAGATCTTGTCCGGCAGGTAGCACACGACTGGCACGATGCGAGTCGCGAGACGAATGTCGGCGACGCGACTCGTGTACGAACCTCAATGGATTTGTATGGCGGTAATCGCTTGGAGACTAAAATCGTTGAGTATCGAAGATTTGCGTAGCCTTGTGTACGAAGCCCCTTACAGTACATAGAAAGCCCGTAATACAATCGAACTACGTGAAAACCGCATCGATTTATGTTTATTTGGACCCAAATTACGTCAGTAGAAGTGGTAATGGCAAATTTTCGTCACTGCTGCCTTTTACCGTTTCGATCAGAGTGTGATCGATCGGAACTTCAGCCGCATGTCTGCAAGATAAAAATTTGTCGTTTTTTTGACGTTTTTTAGGTTCTTTACATAACAGCCGTGCTGGACAATATTCCTAATTCATTTCCTGCGTAACTCGTGCGAGTATACCTATATAATATATAATAACATCAAATGTCAATTAGACGTTGGGGACTTATATGGGGGCTATCATGACATAAAATGTCTACCTCTAGCATATACCTCTTCGAATTCAGTGCCCTAAATCGAATATTAGTATAAAAGTTTCATCTAGTTTGTAACGACTGGCGAATAAAGGAATTTTCACCCTAGAAAAAGACAGATTCCTATATATTTTGCGTACCTATTTAACATCTCAAATTTCTGGATTTTCTCGTCTTTGGCACAGTAATGGCTGTCAAAAATTCATCAAAGTCCGATATAAAAAATAACATCTTAATTTTGGAATTTTTAACGATCTTCCTGTTTCACAAACAGGCGTTTGTCGTAAAAGCGACAGATTTAGTGAAACACGGAAATAGCAACGTTGCATTTGTTTGCCTGTGTGTGCCTGACGCTGTGAAGGGATAACTTCACCTGGCTGGCATCAACTCTCGATCTGATCCCGGCAATTCAATAACTTATATATTATCTAGTAGGCCAAGGACCATATCTTGCTTATATTTAGAGTTCTAGAAGACAATTATTATAGTTAAGTAATCGCTCAGTGGTAAATATCAAAGTCTCCCAAACCGGCGTCTCAGGTTCGAGACTGGCAGAGGTATTACGTAACTTGGAAAGTGACATTATGACAACGTTTTTTACGTAATAACCCTGCGGAGACGCGAAGTTTTTCTTTCGTATTCATTTTGATTTGTTGTTTATCTTTTTGTACATTTTTTGCCTCGTTGATCAAAACATCATGTTGCACTGTCATGTTAATTTGAAACTGGGATCCTATGGAAAACACTCATTTCCTACTTATTTAAATGCTTCCTCAGGGCACATTCGCATTTTTTTAACAGCGCACCATTTATTACTTGAGTATGCCGAATTTCATGATCTTGTAATCACAGGAGACAGTAAATGAATATTTTACAGGCGTTGCATTCTTCACAAAACATCCAAGCACTCGCATACTTTAAAGGCGTAGATGAAAATTATAAACTTTATATTCGCATGTACCTACTAATAATCTCTCCAATTATATAACAATGTTTTATTGAAATCGTTGTACAACGGAAATGTTTAAACGTAAACTATATGTAACATATTCATATTTGGATTTGGACTTGCAAACACAACTCATGGTA